CACACACACGCAAGCCGCCACTGTGTACTTGTCCTTTATCATTACTTGCTTTCACCTCTCTGTTTTCTGTCTACCCCCTCCCCCTCCCCGCTGCAGTTGGATTTCCAATGGTCTATTACTTTGGCCCGGTGGGTCGTCACAATGCCCTTGTCATGGAATTGCTGGGACCTTCATTGGAAGACCTTTTTGAGATCTGTAATCGCCAATTCTCCCTCAAAACCGTCCTCATGATTGCTCTCCAACTGGTGAGTGTCTACTTTCGTTCCTCCTTTCTCTCGTCATTTTTTGTCGTATGGAGGTATCCTTCTCCAGCGCCACTTCTCACAGTAAAAACGGCGGCAAATTCCAGATTGATTATGTTTAGAGTGAAGGATTACTCATATGGTGCTCGTAACCAGGATAACGGAATCGGAACGCTCCGGCCAAGTAATAACCCTAATTCTACCCAAAACCTAACCCTACTTTTCCTGGAATTTGGCGTGGAAGCACCTCTGCTGCAGGCGGTCCTAGTTTTTATGTCCCGTTTGGTAGACTATATATCAGTAAGCTTTACCGAGTTAGGTTTAGGGTCATAGTTAATGTTAACTTTAGTAGATTATAATTGCCGGGAAGACCAGGGAGGGGATTGGACTGGCCATCGTCAGGCAGTCATATCCAGCCCTAAGTGATGCACCACCGGAGTCTAAAGCTCTAATCCTTGAGCCATGAGCTCGTTGTCTTGCCGGTTTAAGTCCAGCGATATTGACACTCGATGAACTTTCACCGACCGCCAACATAACTTACTTGTCCCGCTCTGCCTTGCATTGGGCCTCCTTTCTAGGGCCCTGGCAGCAGTCGTAGTGGCTAGTAGGCTTAGGCACATTGTATTGCCGGCACAGACAAGGGAAATTTGGATGGTCAGGGCCTACGAAATGAGACCCAAAGCAGAGCGGGACAGGTGACTTCCGTTAGCGTTCAGTGAACGTTCATCGCCGAGTTAACCCTTGGGTTGAGGTTATAACTATGTGGTTTAGGTTTGTGTTTGGGCTAAGACACAGAAATATGTACCCTGTCTGGAATTATGCGTCCTTGAACGGGGCGTTCCCACTCCCGCATTTGGTGGTGACTCCTTTGTGTGGAACCTAAATGGGTAGGGATAAGAAGATATGCGCGCAAGCCCTTAGGCAGTAGAATGAGGACTGAGAAGGATTGTCTCGTCTGCCAACTGCGAAGATTAAGTGATACTCCGTTATGTCTAATTTGCAAGACGAGACTGCTCGCATCTGGCAGTTATGTCTGTTAGGGCTAAAACGCGCCATGTCTCGTACAAATAAAATGCTACGGGAAAACGAAGTCTCATCGGAAAAATCGAGGTGTACTTGTGAATTTTCAAGTCGGTAGAACGAAACCGTCTTCAGACAAAATGAACAGAGGAGGAATTGAAATTGTCAGGTTCGACAAATTGGCACAACAGGACAGATATGGACAGATAGGCAACCGATGTGAGATGTCGGGGGGGGAGGCAGTGGACACATAATTACGGTAGAAATTGGGACGGGGAGGGATACAGGTGAGTATTGTAACGGCTCCCTGTGCAGAAAGGGAAGGGGATTTGTATGTACAAAATCACCTGTGCAGAAGCATGATCTGCGAATGGGTTTAGGCCTCACGAAGGGTAAACGTTTCCCATCGTCGAACCGATCGGAGTCCATCGCGCCCAAATAAGTTGCTAATACAAGCGAACATGCGAGTCCCAGGAAGTAATTAAGAAGGATAAGATTCGACTTCTAGGACATAACTTTAATTCGCCTGAAGTTTCGACTCCCGTCGCGGACCCCTCAGCAGAACACAGTAGTGCATGCGAGATGGCTATGCAATGCGACCGTAGACGTAGGCAGCCGTCGTCGCTGTGCTTGAGATGAGAAGGTCAATGCGCCGAGGTTGGAGATGTTCGGGGTTTTAGCTGTGGTTCCCCGTGTCCGAGGGAGCGGCTGGTGAAACAGTGAGGTTCAACATCGATTATCGGGCGTTTCTCCCCGTTCATTTCATCTGACGACGGCGACGTCTGTTTTGACGAATCTTTCTTCACTTTCTTACTCTAGCAACAACAGAAGACTGTCCCAATCCCAACCCTAATGCCACCCATCCCCGGAACTACAGT